GTAACTTCTACGTAATCATATATTCTATGAATGTTTCGACAGTATATACTCTAAGGTCACGCTGATATTTCGCACTGGGGGCCTTTTTTGAATCTTATCGTCTTGAACCTAAGATACGCTCGACAACAGTGGGCAGTTCGAACAACCGAGATTGCAGTTGCTCGGGAGTGTACGATTCGAACAAGCCGATGGGCGTCAGTTAGAGTGAGTTCGAACAAAGCGCGCGCCCTGATGATCGATTTGGTGAATCAATGTTAGTTACCAGTTGTTACCGTTGGCGTCATGTGTGTTGGGCCTGGCGACGGCGGTGGTTGCCTCGGCCGTATTGTATTACGGCTTTATGGCTAGTGCTTGGCGGAGGTAGTATCTTAGGTTCCAGGGTGGAAGATACGAATTAGGTCCGATTGGTGGCATGCTCTGTTGCCAGGTATTATACGTTGCTACATGTCTTCCATTTGTCGGTGCTTTTGTGGATGTCCCTCTACTTCAGTTTATGGTAGGGTTGGTTGGGTTGTTTCGAGGTTTTCGGACGTTTTTACCCGGGTGAAATCGTCGCAACTCAGGATTTGGGTTCTTGTCAGGTACCGGTCCCTGAAAGAGCAGGATGTCACTGGCAACCCCAACACGGTGACGGCCAGGTGGCTGCCGCAGTTGTCGCAGAAGATCTATGATATATTGGAGTTGATGATGTAGTGTACTCGATCCACATCCCGGGTTCGATTCCCAGAGGTGACGTTTTTCAGGTATTTATTAACGGCTTTGGGATGGCAGACCTCACGACCGAGATTGAACAGAACGGAGGTTAGATTTGCTGGAGTCATTTCCACCGTGTCGATGTAGGAGGAATCTTAGGTTGCCCATGGCAAGATTCAGAATAGGCCCAACCTTAGGTATCTCGGATTCTTCGAAATTACTTGCACGTCCGAGCAAGTCTGTGCGGGTTACCGACTCTCTCGACTCATCCTTCATTCACTCGCTTACCTTTGCATCATAGTAGCCGTCAACTTCCATCTA